TTTTTTTTGACAAAAAAATAACCACAAAAAATTATCGTACAACAGCATCATATTTTGTTTTCATCAATAAAACTACCACCTGCCTTAATTACTACTTTACAAATTCTTGGCATTCTTTCCAACAGTTTTTGAAAAAAAAGTATATGACAGACCTTCCCAAGCATTCTTCAAGCACTGAAAAAGCTCACTGAGTATTCTCTTGAAACTCCCATATCCAATTCATCCCATACTAATTCAGTGGGAGAGAAGTCAGGAGATTGAAGTGGGCAAGTCATAATTTCCAAAATGTTGTTACTTTTTTTGACTCATGTAATTTTGACATAGTTTAAATGTGTGTATTTTATATAGTTTTCTAGTTTAAAGGTGAATTTTTTGCCAATTACACATAAACAAGATGCATGTCTTTGCAAATTTTAATGATATTGTTCTTTTTTCATGATTCCCTTGACTTGAATCAAATCTCTTGCTCTTTTGATAATCTCAAAAATTCTACTGAGAAGTTAATGGGGAAAACAAAATATAATGTTTCTGTCATGGGTCCTTACCTGTAACTACAGAATGAACTCTTCCTAACACTATGTATATTACGTCTCTCAAGAGAGAGGGTCTAATCGAGTCGGGCGATAGTAGTTCACTCCAAACCAGACTGACAGTCATACTAACACCTTCCACATCTTGTATTATTATTTTGTGTAATATACCTTCGTTATTTCTATTGTCTTCGTGTTGTTCTTCCTTGGTCCTAAACTGGACCATAACAGTGGCGACGAGGATACTGAAGAAACGAATTCTATGCGGAGGATATAAAAAAAACAAAAAACACAAAAAAAACCTTTTGCTATCGGTCGTCCATAACACAGGTGACAGAGATATTGAGAGAAAAAAACACAAGTTCTACGCGAAGATAAAAGATAAAAAACTTTTTGAACACCAACCATAACAGTGGTAATGAAGATACGAATTTTACCTGTCAGCCAGAATAGAATAGAATTCTACGCAGGAAAATCTTTTCATACCAAGGTTCCAGAACAACAGAGGACAAAGACCTGAAGTCTACACGGAGAAAAAAAAAGGAAAAATCGTTACACAAGTACACAACTCTAGCTGCAAAGTACATATTGCGAAAAGAAAAAGTAAGGGGAAAAAGTGAGTTTTTTCCTCCTCTTCTCGTGACAACAGATAGCCTGTGTTATTATTAAATTATGGTGTAAAGATGGAAGACTTTAAGGCAACCATATTGGAACTAACGAAAATGCAATTCGAGCAGCAAAAAAATGAGGAAAGACAGATTAGGCTAGAAGAAAAACAATTAGAAATTCAACAGAAAAACGAAGAAAAGCAACTCGAACTACAAGAATTACTACTATGGACAGTAACAAATAAAGGACAAAATTCTGAAAATGAAGCGGCATTCTCGCAAAATGCTATATGGAACTCAATCAAAGACTTCACTTAACACTGACGCTACAAAAATTGGCTGAGGACTGTCAGAGATGTATAAGCGTAAAAAAGGACTCAAAAAGATATCGAAGAGACTGGCATCGCTCACATATGAAAAAAGTACAACGGCAAACACGTTTTCTCCCTCCTCAAAAAAAAACCAAACCAATTATTTTACTACAAAAAGTCAAATGAAACCTTAGAAGAAACCACCACCCAGTCCATGCTATCTCTGTGGGACTTTACATTGGTACAAATATTGTCCATACCGCTATAAGGCTTGTCTGTCCTGCAATAAGTGGGACATAAAAATTCGCACTGTAGAACAAAGAAAGAAAACGAAAGCCGAGTAAGAGTCACTAGAACTGAACAAGCGGGCGGGATAAATATACAAAAATATGTACAAATGTAGAAATGTTAAACAAAAAAAACAGATTACAATTAGATTCCAGATCAGATTTAACCATTATTAACTTACAGACGTGAAAGAAATTAAACAAACCAACCATGTTGAGAACAGGTAAAATAGCCAGGTCGGTAACAGGAAGAAAAATCAAATTTGATGTGACGTTCAACGGGATGACCAAGAAATTAAAGATGTATGTTCTAAAAAATACGGAAAATTTATTTGGAACTGACTGGATGCAGAAATTTGACCTCTGGGATTTGCCGATAAATATGTTCTGCCAAAAAGTGGAAAGGTTATCGACCGAGGCAGAGAAATTGAAGGAGAAATTAAAGGCGAGTTTCCCCGACGTATTTTCAGCCGGCCTCAGGAGGTGTAAAAAATGACGGCCAAAATCGAACTAAAAGATAATGTACAACCCATTTTCAAGAAGGAAAGAAATGTACCTTTCGCATCATTAGAAGAGATAGACGAAGGGTTGGATAGACTCGTGAAAACCGGTATATTGACAAAGGTGGAATATAGTCAATGGGCCGCACCTACGGTTTACGTGAAAAAGAAATAGGGTGAGATACGAGTATGTGCTGATTTCTCGATGGGATTGAATGCAGCGATTAAGGATTATCACTATCCTCTCCCTAGTCCAGAGGAAGTTTTCACAAAGTTGAACGGAGGAAAATTTTTCTCAAAAATAGACTTGAGCGAAGCATAACTACAAGTACCAGTAGATGAGGAAAGCTTGAGGATGTTGTGCATAAACACATAAAGGATTATATAAGTTCCAGAGATTACCATTCAGGATCAAGGTCGTGCCGGCGATATTTCAGCAAATAATGGACGCTATGCTAGGCGGACTGGATTTCACGATCGCATACCTTGACGACATCCTGATAAATAGCAAAAATATTGAACAACACTGGGAACACGTTCAAGAGGTTTTCAGGCAAATACAAAATTACGGTTTTAAGTTAAAGGAAAATAAATGAGACTTTTTTATGAAGGAGATAAAATATCCTGGTCATATTATTAACGAAGAAGGAAGAAGACCAGACCCAGAAAGAGCCACGGCAATAAAAACAATGCCGGCTCCAAAAAATTTAGCCGAGTTACAAAGCTTCTTGGGCTTAGTAAATTATTATCAAGAATTTATTCCTAACATGCACAAATTACGTGCACCCCTAAATGAACTGTTGAAGAAGGAGAAAGTTTGGGAATGGTCATAGGAATGTCAGAAAACTTTCGACAAAATCATTAAGACTCTAAGAGCAGATTTATTTTTAGCGCATTATGATCCAAAATTGGAAATAATAGTCGCGAGTGATGCGAGTGCCTATGGTGTTGGGGCATGTATACTTCATAAAATGCCGGATGGGGCACTAAAACCCATCGCGCATGCGCCAAGAACGTTACTGCCAGCCGAACACAATTACTCGCAAATCGAAAAAGAAGCGCTGGGGATTATTTTTGCGATTACAAGATTCCACAGATATATTTACAGTAGATCTTTCACCTTGCAGACAGACCACAAGCCGTTACTAACAATATTTGGATCAAAGAAAGTTCTACCTGTCTACACAGCTAATAGATTACTAAGATGGGGGACGATTTTATTAAATTATAATTTCAAATTGGAGTATCTTCCATCAAACAAAATCGGGCATGCAGAGATTTGTAGATACATTAAAAAGAGCACTAAGGAAAGCTTATGATGTGCCAACAGAAAAGGCTTTACAACAGTTCTTACAAGTGTATAGAATTACACCGAACAGTACTATGTCATCAGCATTATCGCCGGCGGAGGTAATGTTTGCCCAAAAAATTAGATCGGTATTCGACAAATTACTGCCAAAACAGACAAAGCAATCACCAACGTAATTTGTACCAAAAAGAAAATTTAGCCCAGGGGAGAAAGTTTTTTATAAAATGTTCAAAAACAACACATCCAATTGGGAGCCAGCTACAATAGAGAAATGAATTGGGAACGTGATTTACCTAATTCAGGGTCTGAAGTTCTTGCATAAAAGGCACTTAATTCAGATAAGAAAGAGGCTGTTAGAGGATTCTAACGGTCTACCTCAGGAAGAGGAGGAAGTAATGGACAAAATATTTGACACATTCAATATGCAAAGGCCTCAAGCAATTTCAGAACCGTTGAGATTAAGCAGAAAAAAAAAATTTACATAGCCTTTAATGATTAATCCGAAGAGGAAAAAATATTAAAGACCCCTGCAAGGTAAAAGCTTGGGAGGGGGTGTCATGGGTCCTTACCTATAACTACAGAATGAACTCTTCCTAACACTATGTATACTATGCCTCTCAAGAGAGAGGGTCGAATCGAGCTGATAGTAGTTCACTCCAAACCAGACTGACAGTCATACTAACACCTTCCACATCTTGTAATTATTATTTCATTCAATATACCTTCGTTATTTCTACTCTTGTGTTTGTGTTGTTCTTCCTTAGTCCTAACCTGGACCATAACAATTTCTCATACAAAATATTCATAATTTAGCAAAATGTATTACACTCAGACAAATTCAAATTTGAACATTTTGGTAGTAGAAAGAGCCTGGAGAAGGACTGGAAAATAAAAGCAAATACACTGTAGTTACTGAAATTTTATCTTTTACTTTAAACAAATACAACAATATCTCATTTTAAGGTGTTTTTAAGAAATGCGGGGTGGCCCCAAATATTTTTGCCTGTAGTGTATATATAATATATATAAATTAAGAAGGAACCTCAAGTTTTATTTTAAACCATTTAAATGGTTTTCAAACTTAAAATGAAAACTATATAAATTCTCATTCAGGATTGTATTCATTTTTAAAATACAATGAAGAAAGAATGATATAAAAACTCTCAAAAAAAAAAAGAGAAAACTTGTTTTATTTTTAAGATTATCTTCCTGGGAAAACAGATGACCTGGATGCAAAAAAAACAGCTGTCATTACACAGATATAGAAGATAAGTCAAGAGAGAAAGATTATAGACATCCTTAATTGATATGCTTAATGATTATTATCTGATATGAATTTCCTTTTTAGTCAGAATTTCCCACCAATGGTCTATAAAAGGAAAGAACAGAAATAGTTAGCACAGTAATCACTTTAGTGTTGCATTTAAAAGACTTCTACAACAACTAAAGATGTGGATGCCTATACTTGCCTGCCTTGCCCTGGTTTTACCAGTGACTGAGGCCCTTAGCCGAATTGGTAAGAAATTTCTCTGTTTTATCAGTTTTTTCTTTCTAAATACATTGAAAATAAAAAGTTATGATTGTATTTAAAGATGTTTAACTAGTTATTAGTCTTAAATCATAATCTTAAATTATTATGTTACTTTATGGAACAGACTCCCAGGAGGATGCTTCCCCAATTGCTTTGACCTCACCCTCTTCAAGCCCAAGGTTAACTGTTATCTATCCTTTATATTCCCATGAATATACACTTCTTACTTTCTCACTTTATGCCTTTAAAACAACCTTATTCAGTAAAATTTTACCTTGAGTGGCTCTTGGGCCTTGTATTAGCTAAACAAGAGTATAAGAAAAATAGACAACTGAACTTTTCATTATGAGGGTACCAGGTTGGCAACCAGAAAACTGCCAACCTGGTACCCTCATAATGAAAAGTTGCAACCACTGATCAGTTAGATCACTATTCATCCATGCATTGAATATTGTGGCTACACCTAATCTGGTGCTTCTGCTATGTATTTAAAGATTCTAGATAAAATACAGAAAAAAAAAAAATTGCAATGTTATTGGTCCTCACCTGGCATGTTGATTTCAACACTTTCCTACAACCATAACATAGCTTCCCTGTGCCTTTTCTTTAAATATATTTCATGGAAATTTTTCTGATAAAATTTTCAGAAACTTTATGAATTTAAGCACAGTACTAGATTGGCAGTTAGGTTTTCTCATCACTTTATAGTTGAAATGGTTAGATGTAACTGTAAGTTCTATGCTAATAGTTTCTTCTTTTGTACTTTTCACTTCTGGCTTATTTCTTTCTAGTCAATTTTGATCATCAAAAATTTAAATTCAATGTCAACCGTTGTCTTCTATTTTCTTAATTCCTGTTCTTTTATTGCTCTCTCTCTTTAATAATGTTTTTCTTTGTCATATTTTCTCACAATCAGTAACCTCTTCATCTTAGTAAATTTATTGCATTACTTGGGGTGAGATGTTTAAAAAACAATTCACACATAAATTGAGTTGCGATATACTGTAGCTATTTATAATATCGCTTTTGATATTAGCTTTTAATATTTTTAATATTATTAATATAGCTTTTAATATTACTATTCAAATATGCAAAATGAATTAGATTTAAATTCTTATTAGTTTATCACAGGAGAATCAAGTAGTTTTTATTCTTCTTTGTTCTTTGCTCATATATTTAACTTCAGAACCAGACACAATTTTTTCTTGAAATAAGTCTAGAAAATTTACCCTTCATCCTACAGGACTATATTTTTCATAGTCCTATCCAAATCAGTTTTATATTTATTCATTTATTTCATAGCTTTGTTATATTCTCTTACAACCAATAATCTCTTGTGTCTTAGTGACTTTATTGTCTGGCTTAGTATGAAATGATTAAAAAATAATAATAATAATAAGCAATACCATCAGAAAAAAAATGGGTTGAACCAAAGTAAATTCAGAAGTAAATATTATCGATCTTCTTTCACTTGTTAATGCCCATAGTAATATCTAGTATTAATTATAAGTTTCTGAAAAAATCCAGTACTCACTAACCCAATTAATAATATGCAATATTTACTCACACTTTAACAGTGTAGTTCAGTGGTCTAGTTTGTTATACTTTGGCTCACCCAATGCAAGTCCCAAAAGCCACTCAAGGTAGAATGTTACTGAATAAAGTTGTTACAAGTGTGTAAAGTGAGAAAGTAAGAAGTGAATATTCACTGAAATATAGAGGATAGATAATGCTTGAATTTAGGTTTTAAGAGGTTAAGGGAAGCATACTCTTGGGAGTTTGTTCCACAAAGTAACAAGTTATTAATCTTTTTTTTGGCAGTGACCAAAAAGTTTATCTAAAATCTATCCTGGTGACCCATTTTCTCATAAATAAGATTTATTTTTAACATATTTAAAAATATTGGTTATTATAAAAGGAAACTGAAATGTAATTTACATTAATTTTAGTACAGTAGTCAAGATAGACACATGGAGAAAATCAACACACATGTGTAGTTGAGTGAGATAGATTTGTGAGAGAAATATTCCATGAATTATTGCATTGTAGTAGTTAAGAGTTAATTTCTGCCACAACTGGTTTCATTGCTGGCTGAAGGCATTGATGTTGATGGAAGTGCCTTCATGTTGCTGATGGTGACCCAAACAGTCATGTAGATGCCCATATTGTCGGGATCCATTGCTAATGCCAGCCAGATTGAATCTGCCATCATAGGTGAACTCAGTGTTGGTATTATAGTGCCTCAGAAATGAGGCTGCTGTGAAAGCCACATGGTCCTTTTTCTAGTTGGTCAGAAAATATTTTATTGAACCGGACAATATTAGGGTCTGTTCTTGTCATATGAACTGTGGATATTGAAGTGAGCACTTTCATTTGAGTTAAAGAATTGGAGTTCTGACAGGTTACAATGAGGTAATTTTAGAATTTGGTTTTCTTAACATATCCTATTACAGCATTTATGACATTTATTTTTACTAACATTCACCCTATACAAGGCCCAAGAGCCACTCATGGTAAAGGGTTACTGAAAGCAGTTGTAATGGTAAGAGTAGGGGGGACAGTTTATAAGGATATATGGGAAAGATAATGGTTAACCCTAGATTTGAAGGGGTTAAGATTGTAGTGGTTGTGAAAGCATCTTTCTGTGAGTCTGTTCCATAAATCAATAGTTCTTGGAAAGAAGCTATCCAAGTAAAACTTACGAAGGGAATATATGTGTTGTGGCATGTCTTAGCTGGGAGGTTTAGAGTTGGGGGAATTAAGGAATGTAGTCTGAATCATGATAGAGCAGCAAGAAACTTGAATCATTTCATCTGTGGGAAAGGGTTTATAAGGTGGAAAACAGTTCATCACCCACAAGACTGCATAGACACTTTTGAACTCTATCAAGCCTGGAAAAGAAATGAGTGTGGTAAATATGATGATAAGAATGGAGCTTTTAACTGAGCCTAAACTTCTCTAATTACTTTATTAATTGTTATTTATTGCTTATGTCTTACTGCTTGTTTAGACCTTTGGCAGTTTCGCCACTCAATTTTACATTGCTAACCCTTACCACACAAGAAATGTTAAAGATAATTTCTAATTATAGAAATTACATTATAGTATTTTACAGCTTTAGCAGTATCTCTGAAAGTTCATCTTTTTTTTAACAATGATCTTCACTTTGTACAAGACCCAAGAGACACTCAAGGTAGAGGGTTACAGTGTAAGAGGCATGGGTTATGGGGATATGTAGAGAAGATAACAGTTGATCTAGACTTGAATAAATTAAAATTGTAGTGATTGGGGAAGCATCCACTTGGAAGTTAGTTCCATAAAGCAGCATTTTGTTGTAAGAAGTTGCTTGAGTAGAACTTACATCTCAACAATAGAATATGAAAGGAATGGGGGGGGTTGACTACAATGTATGTGGCATGGTGGGTCTTAGCCATGAAGGTTAGGAGAAGGAATACTTTGAATTTAAATCCTTATGAATAAGACAGAACATGCCCTTTACTCTTGGTAGAGCAACCTCTCTAGTAGAAGGAATATGCTGGATTCAAACCCTTATAAATAAAAGAGACCATGCCCTTTAGTATTAGTACAATAACCTCTCTAGTAGAAAGAATACACTGAATTCAAACCCTTATAAATAAGACATACACTGCTCTTTAGTCTTAGTAGAGTAACCAGTCTAGGAGAAGTCTCTGAATTTAAAACCAGCCTGAAGTGTGATGGTCTCCCTCAGGCTATCTTACCCTAGACAAATTTATTGTTGTTATATCTGCAGTACATAATTGAATGACAAAATGACAAACAAGTTTACATGTCATTTTTTTTAATCAAGTTCACCTCAAGTAAGTCAGTAAAGTTACTGTAATACAAGTAGTTACTGGAAGTGGAAGAGTTAAAAAGAGGAACAATTGAAAGGAACAGTAGATAGGTGTTGAAATTGCATTTAAATTTTTGCAGATTGAAGTTGGCTGGAAAGCATGGAGCTGGAAGGGAGTTCCACAAATGGGAAGTGTGAAAAAAGAAACTGTTGACATAGAATTTATGATTATATCTAGCCAACTCAGCTGTAAGTTGATGAGACCTTGTTGCCACTCTAGTTTTGTGCTTAAATTCAGAGTTTAGTCACCATAGAAAAGAGCTCATCTGAACAATTATCATGAAAGTATTTACAGAAAAGGCACAGGGGGGCAACTTTATGGCAGTGGGTAAGTGACTGAAGCCAAGATGCCAGATCAGGACAAATACTATTGTTGATTCTTCTTTGGATTTTATCAAGAATCTCTAAATATATAGCAGGAGCACTATGTAGCAGCAATATTCTAAGCATGGACAAATGGTAGATTTATAGATATGTAAGATAGTCTCTGGAGAGAAAAATCGTCTAGCACAACACAATGAACCAACCTTCATGGAAGCTGACCTAGAAATGGATTCAGTATAGTCTTTCCACTTCATGTCAGTCAAGAACATTTGCACAAGAAGGTGCAGGGATTCTCTCTTCTGGAGATGTAGTTTATCATCATAACCAGGAGTCATAAGAGAATGTAATGAATGGTGTATATGAAATTGATATTTCGCTATGTCCTTACTATTATTAGAAGAGTTTCACATGTCATTATATTGCATATTTTTCAGTTGTTATTGTTGTACTCTGATCTTTTACAAAGCTGATCTTTTAACCTCCTGGATTCATAAAGATGTTGAAACTGTCAACCATTTTCATAACAAAGACACTGTCACTTGGTGTCACTCATGCAAAGATGATAACTCTTGCAGAAAAAGTTGAGAAAATATGAAACTATACATAGTGCATTATATATTTAGATAACAAAAAAACACTGTTTTGTTCAATCAGTAAGTAATACTGTAAAATATACATCTTGCAATGGTAACGGTAATATAATGGTAATAATGAAATTAGCTGTTTCCTTATAAGGAAACATTCAGCATTCATTGGCTGAACAGTCAGTGTTACTGTTGGTTGAAATTTATAAAATTTTGAATATAAATTTTTAATACAGTTTTTCAAGAGAATAGACTTCTTAAGTCCACTGTTATTGCTCTTTCTATTATTGATGGCAGTTTCTTCTCAAACATTATGTTTTTGGTAGTGGGGAAGGTTAACAGCTTGATTATAGTATTTTCTCTTCTAGTCACATGTGCTGCCCATTTTTGTTGTTGCCGCTATTGGAAGTCTTCAAGTGATGTGGTTTTTGCTATTTGGTAAAGCTCTTTGTGATTTTGTAGTATAGTGAATAGTGCTACAATTTGTATTGCACAAAGTGGATGTTAGTCATCAATTGTAGTGTGACGAGTTACAACATTTTATGGCTGATTATGATGAATGTTGACCATGTTCATCATAGTCTATGAATATAGAATATAGCGCAGTACGTAATCTGTTCAATTAAACAACATTAAAGATTAATACTCTTGAGTCATATATTTTACTAAATCTGATTATATCGCCAATACCACCAGCAGCTGTTCTGTAATTCTTCAGTCTTTGATATCAAAGGCTGGCAGTGCATATTCGGGAAAAACATGGCTGCCTTTATACATGTCGCATTGAATATTTTGAGCCTTCTGATTGGTTAACCCTTCTATTAGTGAACTATAAAATGATTCAGCTCAATTTGGCTGGCTCACTAGTACACCAGGGTACCCAAAAATTCCAACAATGAAGACTTTTGAAATTAAAATAAGCTCAACATTTTTACAAGAATTGAATTTCAATATTTTATGTGTTTTATATTGTTGCGGGAACTTTTCTTAGACTAAAAGCAGTGGCAACAATATTTTTACACATATGAATGACAGGTATAAGGAAATGAAGTGAATTTCAACAAGGCAATGTTTTATATTTTTGTTTTTATACAAGAGACTGCAAAAGTAGGTATACAGTAAGTATTTACCAGTATCAAAAGTATTATACCAATATTACAATATGTTTCGTGTGCATGTTTTGTTTATCATTACTGTATACCTACTTTTGCATCTTTATAATTTGGTAACAAATGAGAGGAAATACACTAGAATGCATGCAAAGAAAGGAAGATATGAAAAGTAATTAATTGTGTGGGCAATACATGTGTGTGCATGTGTGTGTGTGTGTGTGTGTGTGTGTGTGTGATAGTTCAGTCACTAAGGGAAAAGATATCCCCATGCCTGGGAGAAGGTTCCGGTTGGAGTGATCACTTCAGCATGTAGGTAGGAAAAAAAGAAAGAAGAGAGAGAGGACAGGTTATTTTCATAGTTGTTTGACAATGCTACCTAACAGCATCTTGGTGAAACTAAGTGGGGGTAACACACAATATAGAGAATAGCATAATTCAATAAGAGAGAAAATATACTTGTGTGTACACAGAGAGCTGAAAAAGGAAGAAAAGCATTTGTAGGTATTGCTGTTAGAAAATATTTGTATATGTGATGTGCCATGTAGCTGGGTTTGAAGTTTAGCAGTTGGCTGCCTGGGAAAAGAAGATGTATCCTGGAGCAAAAAAGAGACAAAGAAGGATTATTGCTCACTAGAGTACCATATAGTGGGTGTCCTGGCAGACAACATGTGGTAATCTCCACAGTAGCATGTCTATAGGATTTTTTGAACAAACAAAAATAGATAACTCAGTATCATCTCAATGTGAATTGAAATGAAATAAGTTATCAATTTCAAATCTTTTCATTTGTACACTATTACTTCTTAAAATAATGACCAGCATTCATATTTATGATTAATATCGCAATATTTTCTTAAGTTGATAAGCTCAAATATTTAATGATGCAATCGGGAAATTTATTATTTTATTTTATTCAATCATTAACTTAGAAATTAAGATTCATCAGAATATTCAAATATTAAAAACATGAAATTTTCACATGTCTTTCTTGCTATTTATTTATTTTATCTGTAAAGTAATTATTTTTTATTTCTCTCTTTGTGAATGAACTCTTAAATCAATAACAAAATGTATGATAAATTTCTTTTATGGCACAAAATATCAACTTTTATATGCCATGAGAACAAAATAAAAGAATCAGTTGAAAGACTATGATTTAAAGTAGTAAGAAAATTTGATGAAAGTTTAAAGAACTAATTTTAAACATTACTGTTTCTTTCTTTTTCTCCCAGATTGTACAAGCTTCACCCTCACACCAAGTGAAGATAGTAAGTATTACTGTTTTGCTTTTTATTGCACACCATTATCATTCACAAATTCTGAATATTATCATTTTCACTTTTGATGCTTTTGTTATTTATTTGCTTCTTATTGTACACCATTATCATTGAAAAATTTTGAATGTCATTATATTCACTTTTAATTCTATTATTTTTATTAAGGTGATAAAAACTGACATGCCTTGATTGTTTTCAATACCAAGGAAGAATAATTCTGCATTTCATTTGAAGGTGTTGCATTGATTGATTTAATTTGTTTTTCACAGCTTGTCAACATTTTGCAGATGATTTAAGACCAGAAAATATTTTTAGATTGTAATTATTGTTTTTTTTTAATAATAATGATTTATTGATAAAAAATCTAATAATTAACCCACAGCTGTGGGAAAAAAGGTAGATTCTTACCTTTCCCAAGGGTATTTACACATAAGTGAATATAGTGAACCTTACTGGAAATGGAACTCTGCTCTCTGATTTCCAATTCCAAGCTGTTGTCCATCACATCTTCTACACATCCAAGTTTATGGCAACTGATATTCCTAAGAAATCATCCAACTAGGTACAGATCAAGCTCAGTGTTGTTTAAATTTGGTGACCATACAAAAACAGATGTTTCAACATGATATGGCCATAAGCCTAAAGGTGTTGGCAACCTATTTACATTAAGTCTTACAAGTCATCTCTCTGCAGAAGAAGTGTTTGGTAAGCTTAAAAGTATTAAGCCTGTAAGTGCTATATATTGTTTTATATAACATTTAGTCTTTGGCGTTCACATTTAGTTTCTGTGCATATTTTACACCCTTGATTTAGCACTGGTAAGAAGGAACCGATAAACCAGTTTAGCTGTCTTTTTTGTTAATCATGTTATTGAGAATCATATTATTTTTATTTCTCTTTTTTTGTTATTGATTTTTTTCTTGTTTTAACATGTCAATTTTTATCATTTTAATAAAGCTTTTGTTTTTACATTATACTAACTAATGTACTCAGTATATCTTGATAGATAATGAGGTTTGCAGTTGTTTCAAAAGTATTTTCATTTTTAATCATGGGGAACCTTTTGAGAGAATTTTTGAAGATTATGCAATGTTTTATATATGGTATCTTTTCTCATTTCCTCCACATGTCAAATGTAAGCAGAAAGTTCTACATGGAAGTTTTTTTTTCAGAGAACTGCCATTTTGTGGAACAGATGTCCATTTGGATGCTTCCTTGAACACCAATCTGAACTCTTCAAGTCAAGGATCAATCATTATCTTTCCTCCTCATCTCCATAATCTTCACTACCTACAACCTTCTCTTTCAATCATATCATGACCATTCCAATAGTAAAGCTCTACCTTGAATGTCTCTCAAGCCTTGTACTGGGTGATGTTTAGTACAAAAATAATAATTTGATGATGCTAGCTCTTCTGAAAGTTTAAATGCTGGTGGTCAGGTTCTGCTATATCTTGTATTTTAAAATAATCAATGTCATATGGTCATCTACTTGTGAACTTTATTTCAAGATACAATTCACCATCCAGAAAATGCTTTTATTTCTATCCTCTTGTTTAACACTTACTGCTACATAAGCAGGTAGACATTACCTAGCAGTCCAGAAATCTTTTCTTTATAGTGGAATCATAAAAGAAATTTTAGATTGAACTCATAATTACTGTATTACCAAATTCAAGAACCAACACTTTAATGTATCTCCCCCTTAAATAAAGGGTTCAGTTCAAAATTCCCTGAAGATTACTCACATTGACTGACACCTGAAAAAAACCAGAGGGCACAATAGGCCAAACCCTTGTAATAATAAAAACAATGAAGAAGACATGTAAATAATGATAAATCCCCATCCCAGAAATTCTATTTACCTTGTTTGGAGTTTACATATATTGTACTAAAATGTATCCACTTTTAAATTGTGAAAGATGACATTAATATGCAAGCTAGTATTAGAAATTATAATTGAAGTTGATTTTATTATGCCAATGTTGCAAAAATAACACCAAAAATAATGCCTAATATAAATACTGGATCTAATATATAAAGCTCAAATTATTGTTTGTGCATCAAGTTAGAACATTGAAAATTAATTAAATATATACAAAGTTATTTGCATGTATTATGCAAATATATAAGATTGTGACATCAAATAAATCCAGTTTTATTATTTATATCTACAAGCATGGGTCTTATATCTTGGTCAACTTTATATCTACTAGCATGTGTTATATATCTTGGTCAACTTTATATCTAATAACATGGGTCTTATATCTTGGCCAACTTTATATCTACTAGCATGTGTTATATATCTTGGTCAACTTTATATCTATTAACATGGGTCTTATATCTTGGCCAACTTTATATCTACTAGCATGTGTTATATATCTTGGTCAACTTTATCATATCTCTGCTTATGTGTATCTTTGCCATAGTAATGGTGCCTAAATAGCTTGTAGCTGGAAACAGTTTCTTCTGTGGCACAGACACTAGAACAACATTTGCAAAAGGAAACTGGTTTAGCACACACCACAACGCACAAATCTGAACTGTGCTGAGTGCAAAAACTTACTGCTGTCCCAACAAACACTCACCTCCTTCATTCATTTTGGCAAGCTAGAAAATTAACATCTTGCACATGCACACAGCCTCTGTCTGGATCAGTGACATATGCATCATGTCATTCCAATGCTGATGCTAATATAGTTAACTTTGCTCACAATTTACTCATCTTATGCACAAATTAAGGCTATGCCAATCTGATTCTCATGGTCCTTCAAGGTAATTCTCCAGCACAGCCATCTTTATATTTACAGAGTTATATCATATCTTGGACAACTCTATGATTCTAGCTTAATGGAGATAGCTAATATGCATAGTCACCTTTTAAAATAATATTTAAAATTAACTGATTAATTATTCATTTTTTGTGATCTTTATAAATAATTAATTATTCTGTTGATTACTTTGTAATTAAATTCCTTGATTATTCAAATGAAGCCATTTTTTGGCTTGCAAGTGCTTACAAGATAAGCATTTTGGTGGGTGTAAGTGATTCATTGCTTTATATGGATTATCAAACCTTTGTGGATGATTTAAAATCAAAACATACTTTGAAATGTAAAAATGATTCTTTTTTGTGAGTTAATATTGTATTCACTATTTTTGAGGGAGGAAGCAATGATTTTTCTAAAGATAAGTCCTACTATTTAACTTATACCTGTTGGGGAGAGAGGAGCGAGAATCATAACTTTCCCAAAGTTATTTGTTCATAACTGAATGTAATGAACTCAACTGGAATTTGAACTTGGCTCTCCAATTTCTCATTCTAAGCTGCTATCCATTATACCACCTGCACATGCTTGAATTTAGAGCTTTCCTTCTCCTTGACTGGTTGCCAACCCAGGCTAAAGCATATAGTCTGTCCGTCCTATTTCTACTGAAATTTCTACTCTACTGAAATTCAAGCTCAGTTCTCTGATTTCTCATTCTGAGTGACAATTAATTACACCACATGTGAGAGCAAAGGGAAGTAAGCAACACAATATTTTTAACATAATATCTTGTGTTATGGAGTGGTTTCACAATGGAGGCTTGTATTTGTACTAAGTCGGTCCTAACAATAGGTTCGACGTACAAAATGTTAGGAACTTGATATAATAGGTAATGACGCGGAGAAATTTAGTTGCGGTCACTGATACTTTAGTATCCGACTAACGGTCGTCCGGCATCGACTGACTGACTGACCCACTGAGTGAACCCTTGTTACTCTTACTACTCCTACTTATTATAGGTGGGAGAGTCTATTAACTATAGAATAGATGTGTTCCACTATAACATCTTGAAAATGTAATTTTATTTAATGCTATAATTGATTGAACCAGTCCTACTGTATGGATCAGAAACTTGGACATTATTTGTTCATCTTCAAAGACAACTGGATGGAACATATACAAATCTACTTAGAAAAATCCAGAGATCCCATGCAACACTTTACACAATTTAGGAAGAGATGAGACCAATCTTTCATAAGCTCAAACAAAAATGATTACAGTTTGACAGCCACTACCACTGAGTGAACAGGGAAATCATATCATTACTACTATGGTATCCTTCTGGAAGTGTCTTCTCATGAAAATTAACTTTCCCAGACACCATAGCTCAGGACTCAGGGTTGGACACTGGGGATCTTGAGGCAGCAATACAGGACTGAACAGTGTGGAAAGAGATTGTCAATGGAGTTCTGACCAATCATAGGGAGGTCGAAGGATGATGATGGTGATGATGAATGCTATAATTATTTATTTATTGAATTTAAACAAAAAAGTTAAATTTTATCATTAAAAATGAATGAGACATTTTGGGGGCATAACAAAACTTGAATGGAAAAATTGAATTTTGTATGCTTTATTTAATGTAAGAAACATTATAGATCCTCATGTCTTGCTGTAGTATCTCTGACTTTGCTGTCCTGTTCATTTAACACTTCATCAGGATTCCAACTATTGCTATCCTATTGGGCTTATCATTGTGTCATTATACCTTTTATACTAAAGTTCACCCATACAAAACTCAAGAGCTAGTCAAGGTAGAGAGTTACTGTTAAAATGTTTAAAGTCAATGAGATATGCTATATGAATGAAAGAAGTGAAGATATAAAACAAAGATCATGGGGATAAGTAGAATAGATAACAATTGATCCTTGACTTGAAGAGATATAGTGTTTAGAGAAGCATCAATGTGGGAGTCTGTTCTACAAAACAGCAATTCTTGGGGGGAAAAAGTTGTCTGAATGGAACTTTCTCCTTACATTTAGAATACTGAGGAAATGAGGATGATTTGATTTTGTGTAATTAACCTGATGTGCCATACTTGTAAATGTCTCAACTAGAAGACCTGAAGTCCTGAGCTTATCTGAAATTTTGCCATGGAAATAATGACAGAGTATTGATAGGCTGGCAATGTTGTGACTCTGGGAAAGAAGCTACAGAGTAGAGAATATCTTCCCTCACAAGATTGCATAAAGGATTTTGAATTCCACCAAGGCCAGAAAGTGAGCATCTCCAGCCCAGATATGGCAGCAGAATTCCATTATTGGTTTAATCTAACTTTTGTAAGGATAAAGCATGGTATGAAATGATTTAAAGCATGGTTTGAATGATTTTTCATATACATGCTCAGTATGAAAAATCAACTACCAAAATGTTTAATCTTATTAAATTTTTTCAATCATGGAAAGTTTATCATTTTACAGCATATGCAAATCTCTCAATAATATTTTATGGCATATGTAAAATTCTCAGTACCATTTTATGGTATATGAAAATATTGCAATGCCATTTTATGGTGTATGCAAATTTCTCATTACTGTTCTATGGCATATGCAAATCTCTAAATGTTATTTTATGGCATATACAAATATTCAATCCCATTTTAAAAGCTTAGAAAATATCTCAATATCATTTTATGGTATAATCAAATCTCTCATTGTGATTTTATAAGCAGATCACACAATGCCATTTGCAGCATATGCAAAAGTTCTCAATTTCATTTTAAAGCAACTACAAATCTTTCAATACCATTCATGGCATATAAAAATCTCTCAATGCCATTTTAAAGCAGATTCAAATTTCTCATTGCTATTTCACGACATATGCAAATCTGTTATAGAAATTTGATTGATTCATTTTGTACAGTTTATCAACCTTTTGCAGGTAAATTAAAGCCAGAAAATATTTTTAGATCGTGAGAATTTTTTTTGAGATAATAATGATTTTACTGATACAAGTCTTACTAATTAACCCATAGTTGGAGGGAGATGAGATAGATTCATATCTTTCCCAAAGGATTTGCATGTAAGTGAATATAACAAACCCAATGTGAATTGGAACTCAGTTCTACTATTTACAATTCGGAGCTATTATACATTACACCACTCAAATATTCTAGCTTACAGCACCTGGTATTCTCAAGAAATCAGCCATCTATGTACTGACCAGGATTGACATTGCTAACTTCAGTGTTCCAAAGTGATGTGGCCATAAGCCTGTCATAGATAGAAATGACTGTGTAGTATAGAATAGTAAAAGAAAGGGACTTAGTTCACAAAACATTCAGTATTGATGTTGCTAGTTATTGATAAAATTAAATATACTCTTTTCTTTGTTTAGCTACAAACATGTTTTTTTTTAATTACTTTCATCCTTCATATATTAAAATTAATTGATTGGCAATTTTACATTATTTCTATTTTTCTTGCATATATATTTCTTCAAAATCATTTACTGATAAAATTTTCCTTTATCTTCCAGGAATGGTTGCGATGTATTGTACTCGTAGTGCTGTCATAAGCAATCAGATTGTCTTTGGTCACCCAGGTGACAACCATAAATTCTTGGTGTGTACTGATGTATCTGCTGGTTGTAGTGGAACATGTCAAAATGGTGCTGTTTTTGACAATATAGCAAAAAGCTGTGGATCTGCACCTGTTTCCTGTACTCTACCCAGTGGTGCAGATCCAAATATCCCATTACAACCCTTGGAGCCAATGATTACAAATCCATGCAATCAAGCAGGATTAAGAACATGCTTTTTGTTCAAGCATAACATGAAAAACAGGTAGATTTTCTTAAGATATATGAGGATCAACTGAAAAGTTCATAGGCTGACCAAGATACTCTCATAGAATGTGACCAAATGAGGTTTATTTTTCAGCATTTGTTCACCTTGCAGTCTGCACATGTCTTTCATGTGTTGGAGTGCTTGGATCCCATTGGTGAAGAAGCTTTCATCCTGTTGGTGAAAAAATTCATCAATAGTAGATATGTCATCATCACTGCAATACTAGATAACAGTCAAGTGTATTTTTTTTTCATGTTGGGGAACAGATGATAGCCATATGGATCCAAATCAGAAGAATAGTGAAGGTAATCAACCAGTTCAAAGCCACAGTCATGCACAGCAGCCATTAAAACCAAAGATTTGTCTACTGGAGAAATGTTCTGATGAAAGAAGACCACTTTCTTCAGTTTTCTATGGTATTTGGTTTTGATAGCCTTTTGTAACTGCCTCAGCAAGTTAGCATAGTACTTTCCATTGATGGTGTGATCTTTTTGAAGATAATCAATAAACACAATACGTTTTGCATCCAAAAAAACTGAGGCCATTACATTCCCTGCTGATGAAATAACCTTGGCTTTGTTTAGAGCAGTTCAGGAGAGATTCCATGGATTGTTACTTTGTCTCTAGCTCAAAGTAAAGAATGCAACATGCATACTAGGTTACAAAATGTTCAAGGAAACCTGTTAGCTCTACCTCAAACAATGTCAGATTTTCCTGTGATGTGATCAGGCTGGAGCACTTTTGATCAGATCTCAAAAGACATGGCACCCAACAAGTGGAAACTTTTCATCATGCCAAGTTCACTGTGCCGAATATTCTCAACTCTGTCATGGGGGTATGCTAATAGCATTGGCTATTTGATATATAGTCAATCACTTGTTATCCATCACTTTTTTTTCCTTGGTCATGGCTGTTGCAGTATGTCCAGACATTGGATCATCTTCAAAATTCTCCTTTCTCCTCCAAATTTCAGCTGCCCACTTTTATACTGATGAAAAAACTGGAGCATCGTCCCCTAATGTAGCAACCATGTCAACATGAATGTGCTTGGGTGTTAAACACTTTTCCTTCAGGTACATGATAGCATTACAATGCCAAATTCTATCCATTTTCGAGAGAAGTCATTACTAGTTACTTTTGAAGTTTTCTTTGAACATTCAAATGTCAGTTTACCTGGAAAAAAATCAATGCAGTTATTAATAAGAAAAATTTAAACTAATGCATACAAGATTTCACAGCTTTAGCATTACTTCTCTATAGTCAGCCAATGAACTTTTCAGTCCACCCTTGTAAGATATAATTGTAATCTTTTCTGTTTGCCATTCTGTGTATCCAGTATATAAATGACGAGGACATTTATTTTATCAAAGTGTATATATGATTTTACTAAGAAATTAGATATATGAGTGATAGATTAAGTAAATGGATAGGATAGAATTGTAATATTTTTCTGTTTGCCACTCTGTTCATCCATAATGTAAATGCCTAGAACATTTCTTTTATAGATATCTAGAATAGATATAAATTTACTAAGATTGTTTATTTACTATTAAATTGTTTATTTACAAGAATAATTTTATATTTACAACATTCTAAAAACTAATACTATTGTTGTCAGGTTAACATTCTCGGCTGACATGAAGTCAAAAGACTATACTGAATTCAATGCTAGGAGGTCAGCTGCTAAGAAAGTTGGTTCACTGTGCCATGCTAGATGATTTTTCTTTCCAGAATATAACTTCATATCTACCATTTGCCTATGCTTAGAATATTGCTTCCACATATGGTCCAGTATTCGTGCTATATATTTAGAAATTCTTGAAAGAAGAATCAACAATAGTATTGGTCTTGATCTGGCATCTAGGTGTCAGTCACTTACCCACTGCCATAAAGTTGCCACCCTGTACCTTTTCTATAAATACTTTCATGGTAGTTATTTCAATAAGCTCTTCGCTATGGTAACTAGACTTTATGAATTTAAGCACAGTACTAGACTGGCAATGAGAAAAAAAAATAAAGTTAACCTCCTAACCTGAAAATACTTGACTAAAACCTGATATAGATTTTTAATTTGATTGATGAAGCATGTTGAACATTAAAGTTTGCACAAGTTCTATACCTTGTATTAAAATGAGTGTAGAAGCATTTAATATAATAACTAGAATTTATTGTTCAATTCTGTCATTATTAATAGCTTAAAATTTAGAGAATTTATACAAGTTATATTAGGCTTTTTAGATAGTCTGACTGAAGTCAAATCATTGTTCTATTTTTATTAATATTGGGTTGAAACACCGAGTTTCCAAGAGTAAAAGATTAGGTCAGGGAGAGAAAGGTGCTATATTATCTGTACTCTTAAGTAATTGATATAACCCAAAATGTTGGTACGTATTTCTTTATCATTTAATAGTCATATTTAGGCACCAAATTCAGTTTCGCATATGTCATCTTAAAAATCTTATCTAGGTACCAAGTTCAGTTACAGATATGTCCTTTTAAGAATTATATTTAAGCACCAAGCTCAGTTAACACGTCTTTTTAAGAATCATATCTAGGCACCAAGATCATTTTCACATATGACCTTTTAAGAATCATATCTAGGTTCCAAGTTCAGTTCCAGAAATGTTCTCTTAATAATCATGTTTACATACTGTAATTGGATTGGTTTAGCTAATAGGTAATTATCATAAAGAGAGCTATAACTAGCTCAGTGGCAACATTGAGTCAGTGGATGTAGACTATCTACAGTTTGATTATCATAATAAAATGGCATCACCTAACGGGGCTCTATTGAGCACAGAAGAACCTGAAAACGTAAAGATTTGAATATAAAATGCTTTGATGCACGTGCCAGAGTGAAGAAGTTACGAGGCTGATTTCGTTAATGACTTACACGGCTGAAATTGAAGACTTGACAGTGAACTAAGGAAGTCAAAGAAATAATATTAACTTAAGAAATATTCAACCAAAGAAAAGATTGGTCATGGACGAACGAGCCAAATTCTTAGCTTTGAAACAAGAATTTGGGGAGCCTACAAGGAAATATCTAAGAAGGTTAAGAGATGCCAGCAGATATCGTGAATTTCGTGGACTAGGACAACAAGGAATAAGCACAGAGGAAGAATTAATTAAACTCCGATTAGTAGAAGGGCTGTACAACACTTCTCATAGAGTAAAAAAATTTTACAGCCGTTACAGACAAACCAAATAACTTTAAGCTTGTATTGACTTCATACAAGAGGAGTTAATTGAAAAATTTAATACAAATAGAAACCAACCTGAGCTTATGGACACATGTGCGATAAAAAGGACAATGAAAATGCAGATATTGCAACTATAAACATGAATCAAAGAGAGAAAAATGTCCAGCAAGGAGAAAGGCATGTCATAAATGCAAAAAGAAAAATCACTTTCAAGTCGTATGTAGATGGCGAGATATCACTGTAAAAACTGTCGAAATAATACAGGACGATGTCAAAAGTATATAAAAAAAAAAAAAAAAAAAAACCCAACGTTTTTCCAATAGAAAGGAGAAACAAAAAGAACACCTTCACGAATATTAAATTAAATGGTGTAGACTTAAAAATGCAAGTTAACACTGGAAGCGAAGTGACTCTTATTCCGAAGAATTTTCGGAAACAATCGCTGAAACCAAAATTAAAGGAAAACCTAGTAAGATTAAGACAGTTTGATGGAACGTGTATAAAAATATTAGGGTTCTTACAAGGCACTTTTGAAACAAATAGATTTGAAACCGTCATTATTATTAGACTGTATAAAAAGTCACGGTTTATTAGAAACTAATTTGATAAATATTAATAGAACAGGTTTAGTTAATGCTATAAATATAGGAAGTCTAAGCATAAAAACTATAAAGCGAGCCTGAAGTTAAAAAAAATATCAGTCTATCGAATTTTGAAAGCCGTGGGCTTCCCATTCATATGAAGCCGATGGTAGTTGATAAGCTGCGAAAAACGGTGGAATATGTCGAACCTGAAGGCAGCAAATGGATATCGCCAATTGTGGTTTTGAGAAAACCTAATGGTGATTTTAGAATCTGCGGATATTATAAAGTAGGCGTAAATCATAAGATTTGTTTGGATTCCTACCCTATTCCAAACATAGAAAACATAATACATTATGATTCTCTGATAGGAATGAAATATTTTGCAAAAATTGATTTAAAAAATGCGTACCACCAAATTCAAATAGATGACTAATTTAAAAGCAATCACAACAATAAATTCTCCCATAGGCATACTTAGATGGCCCCGCTTACTATTTGGAATTAATACGGCCAACTCAATTTTTCAAAAAGCTATGGAATATTTGTTAGCGATACCATACTTAGACGCATTGTCCGACTACAATTTGAAAAGGAACAAAACGAAAAAAAAAAAATACTTAAAAAAGTTGAGGATGAATTTTTGCATTGGGTGGAAAACGGGTGCGTTGTCCATGAATAGGCTAATTATGGAGACGTTAGAAGATCCAGTCTTAAGTCAAACTTTATCTAGAATAAGGAGCAATAAATGTAGTAATTGTTCAAAAGCAGAAAGACCATAAAAAGAAACCAGATACAAACTATTAATATCAAATGGTCTAATTTGCAGTGGGGATTTAGTAGTACCACCGGAAAAATGTAGAAAAGAAGTAATTAAGTGTACATGATGATGTGCATTGTGGAATAACCGCTACACACAAACGGTTGAAACTGGAAGCGTGGTGGCTAGGAAACACACGATATGTGGAAAGGTACGTTCGCAAATATGCCGAAATAAAGAGTTTTCACCACAATAAGTTGCCCTGTTGGCCTAAGGAAACAGAACCATGGTCTAGAGTTCATATGCATCACACACAAGTTAACGGGGTAGGTTTATATCTAATACTGGTTGACGCTTTTTCCGCTTGGCCTGAAGTTTTCCGAGTCCAGGATAAAAAAAAATCTAGTACTGTAAAACATATTACGCATAATATTTGCTAGAAATGGAATAGCA